CAGTTCCAGTATCACACAGTGTGGACCTTACTTCTCTTCATTGGACTCCCATTTCCCTATTTAATTACCTCTTTAAATTTACCTCCATAACCAGAGCTAAAAGTTAGGATTCAATCATTATAGCATAGGCAGAGAAGAGTTTTTTCAATGACGCTCTACACCATACACAATATAACAAAATGGAAATAATGTAATCACAGCTTCTTTCTCTTTCCTTTGTTACTTCTGTTTGTTTTAAAAGGTATAAAAGATTGAATCTAAATTATGAGATTTAAATATTTTTAAATAGTCAATAAGGGATGTATATTTCTTCCTTGGTAACATATGGAATTGGGGCCGGAGAGTGGCTAAGAGCTTTTCAGTTTCAGGGATTCAGTGGCCAAAGACACTTTCTATGAGAGGAGATGCTGACTTATGTCCTGTCTCTTTTTCCACCTCTTGGGTCAAGAGCATCCACAGATAAAGCTCAGTTTTGCATTATACTTCTTCTTCTTTTTTTTTTTTTTAAGTAAGAAAAAAATGATTTCAGAAAGATAGGTTGACAAGGGACATGGAGGCTTTCCAGAATTAACTGTGAAAGACAGATCATCTGGGCATGACTGAAAACCATGCATAACCTTTGTTCCCAGATAGCTCATTTCAAAAACGTCACTTTCTGCTTATTCAATGCTACTGTCATTATACTATTTTAAGAATTAAAAGTCGTGTTCTGGAGCTGAACAGGAATTATTGCTTCTATATTTGGACTTATTAGAAATAATTGGAACTTCACTCAAAAGCAATAAAAATCACTATTCTATTGTGGTTGTAGTTGCAGTGCAATTTTCATTGTCATTTATGAGCAGTATTTCAGCATCTATGTACATAGATCAAGACTATAAGTACTTTAAAAAAATTACTTTAGAAAGATGAATTTTTCTTTAATTCTTAATCCCCATAGTGAAATTAAAGCATAAGTAATTATGTGACAATGCTGCTTAAAATTTCAGCCTTTGCCTTATATGGGTAAACTTAAAAAAAATATATATATGACAGTTGAAACAAATTTTTATTGCTCCATCTATTATTTAGTCAATACTTGGACTGAGGTAAAACCAGGTGATAAATGGAAAATGGAGAGAAAAATCAGTTCATTAGAAAAGAAATAGTTTCATCCTCTGATTTTCCAGAGAGAGGGCTAGGAAGATAAAGAATGAGAAGCAGGTAATACCTGGAAAAAAAGTCTCCCAATATCAAAGGAATGAATCTGTTTGTTTATCCCGATCATCTGTAATTTATTTAACATTTTACTCTCTAAATAATCCTCAATACTCTCATTTCAAATTTGGATCAATACAAAGAAGAAGACCAGAAACAAAATGCGATTGAATTATATGAGTCAGCCTGCATTAGGCTCTTCTTGCCACACAGGAAGAGGGAGCGGGAAGAAGCTTCCTCGCATAATGAAGGATTCTCTGGGCAAGGCTGGCTGGGTGGAGAATTGCTTCAGCTGGTGGGCAGCAGGACAGGGTGAAGCAAGGAGTTGATATGCCAAAGCAAATGACAACAGCAAACAAAAACCACCCAGAAAATGGGTTGGGATCAGATGGGATGTGCCTTGGCACAATTCAGAGGTTGGAGAGTCAGATCGAGAAGAAGAACCATAATAATGGACCATGTGGTCTCAGGGTGCCCTGGGTGGGTGCCTGGGAATAGCATTGCTATTATCCAGGGGTCTATAAAATGCTGTGACATAGTTTCAGGGGCTGAGAAGATATGGGGCAGGGACAAGTGAAAACTACATTTAAACGATTGGAAAGAGTTCTATTAAATCTTAAAATAGCAAAGTTAGTCTAAAAAAGTACTCCAATGCCAAGGGAAGAAATGCAAGCGGGTGCTGATCATTCAAATGGATGGGGTCCGTACATCAGGCTCCATAAATAGACTGTTACCTATGTCAGCTCGAGCTGCCATAACAAAATACGACAGACTAGGTGGCTTAAACAACAGACATTTATTTTCACATAGTTTTTGAGGGCAAAAGTCCAAGACAAGGTGACATCCTGGTTGGTTTCTGGTGAGAGCTCCCTTCTGGGCTTGCGCATGGCTGCTTTGTCACTGTGTCCTCACGTCATGGAGAGAGTGGTGAGCCAGCACGCTCCTTGGTGTCTCTTATTAGAGCACTAATCCCATTCATTATGAGGACCCAATCCTCATGACCTCATCTAAACCTAATTATCTCCCCAAAACCCCATCTCTAAATATCATCGCATGGGGGGATTAGGACTTCAACATATGAATTTGGGAGGGACACAGTTCAGTCTCTAGCAACAACCAGTTTTCATGATCTCAATGTCACCATAAGAGTCACATATATTTTATTTCCCTTGTCAGACAATATCTGTACTTGCTTTGGCAGTGAAGTTGTCCCCACAGTACAAATGGATTCTCTAAATTCCTTCTTAATGGATAGTCATTCTACCTTAATTCTATCTATGTTGTGTTCTAGAATAGAACCTTTTCTTTTCTCACTCATTTCATATCTATCAAGGGTATTTATTTCATCTTTTTTTTTTTTTCTGTTTCTTTTGGCAAATGAAATGAGTATCATTTTCTTGCATTTTGAATGCAACGCAAGCATTGGTCATGCTCATTCCAAAGGCTGCCTTCTAATCTACTTGAGAAGAGGGATGTTGGCTCCAGGGTTGTTCATGAGACTGTTGCTTCCCTGAGTATCATGTCACTCCCAGCTCTGCCATTGACCCTCACTGCCTGGGGATCTGGGCTATGATCTCCTCTCTATGCAGTGCTACTATGTAGGCTTGGGCTCAGTAGATTTTCGAAATCCATCTGTCCTATTTATCTCTCCATGCTACTATCCAAGTCTAATTTGGAATATCTGCCTTTAGTGAAGAGTCAAAGAAAACAAAAGTAGATTATAATTAAGGAGGGGGACAGATGAAAATCTTATTCTAAGTATAATTGTTTCCATATCATGAAGTTATCCATCGCATGGACATACATGAATTCCTAGCTTTACGTTAACCCTCCATTTACAGAGCACCTCACTATCCAGACTTCTCTAAGTATCCTCCCAATTCCACACCATTCAATCCCTACAACCCAACAGTCAGAGGCAAATATTTGTTTCAGAGCATACATTATGCAGCCTAGAATGATGCACTGAGGTGGAGGGTGGAGAGAAATAAGCATCAAAGTGGTCCGGGTAGGCTTTTGTTCTTCTCAGTCCTGACTCTTTTCAAAGTCTCTCCAGTACTAAGTCTACCTTATTCAGTGATGTATAATTTTACTTTATTCGGGCTCAGATAATATAATCTGAGGATCTATTTAAATTGTGAAAATTAACACACGATAGATTTCAAAACCAGTAAAATTTAAACGGGCAAGAGATATAGAGAGGAGCTATTGGTCACTTCGAGTCCCTCCTGAAGAACCGTCTGGGTAATTTTTACCCAGTCAAGTCTCTAGGCTTTTCGCTTTGGGCACTAAAAGACTCTGCTGCTATACTGAGCTGGAAAAGAGCGGCTAGTTTTTTCCTAATGTGAGTTAAAAGAAAACGCACTAAGGATCTTCCCTTCAAAAAGCTGTTTGATGGTAGTGAGTAAAATCAAATATCAGGGGCCTAGTGGAGCACAATATTGGAAAGTAGGAATGACCTAGAAAAGTGAGAGCCATAGCCACTTCTAGAATATCTGGTTCCTGTTCTCTGAAGGCATGATTGAAGAGCAGCTGCCTAACTAACCTTTGCCTTTCCTTTAGTAAGTTTCAAAATAAAGCTCCCATGCTGGTGTCATAAGTATGCTGGTTGATGAAAATAAAGGTGATTCCAGGTGTTTTCCTGATCTGTGCCTGGAGGCCCTCCTCCCTTAAGGCTGCAAATTATAGAGCAGCCTTTTATTTTCTCATAGTTGTATACCAATGAGTTATACTGTCAACTTACATTATATGCTACCATTTACCACAAGCAACTGCATTTTGCCACGTTGCATAATAATGATAATCATTGTAATCATGTATCAGCACAATGGGATAATGAGATAATAACCAGACTCTAGTACCTTGCCTGCATGCTTAACAATTGACTTCAGTGAGAACCATGTTGCCAGCCTGTCCCACCCTACTGTATAGTGTCAGAGGTTTATGTTCCATCAGCGGGGGGTTTTCAGCGGGCTGTGGAATGCCCTGGTACACACATCTGTTCTGAGTTTCCAGAGTTATTCTTGAAGCTTACACATCATCCTCTGGTTTATTCTCTGGTAAACCTTCGAGGGGGTTCTGATGTGTCAGTGCAACATATCTATTAAATTTATTCCAAGACTGCATTTGGGATACCATAAGAGATCTTATGAACAAAAACAAACGACTACACCATAGTCAACAGTACCTGGAGATTCGGAGATTAACTTGTCTAGACTTATAAGATTTTCACATAAATTTCTCCCGAAGTATCAGACCCATCTCTATAAAAGTTATTTATCTGAACCAAGGTAGAGATGAAGTTGAGCAGGCTCGGACACTTTTATCCCAAATGAAAGCAAGATGTGATATCACGCAACAGCCACATCATTAAAAAGGCTCAGTTCCCATAGTATTTTTGTGACCATTTGTGATAACGGGAACTCTAAAAAATTTTTTCCTTGAGTTCCTTGATTAATTCTTGGAGATTAATCTTTATGAAATTTGTGATATTTTTTCTAACATGTTTCATCTGAAGGTTTCTATTTAGAAGTTCTAAGGCAGAAGCATGAATAGTCCTGGTCTTAATTGGATTATTAATATTAGTCTGAAAATAAATTTACTCTTGTTCTGTCATCTGATTTTTCTAAATATGGGAAATATTTGATTATTTTTGTTTGCTTTTTGGTCTAAGCCTCAAGCTAGAATTGAAGCAGACTACCTCTCCCATCAAAAGTTTACAATAGCAAACCCAAGTGCAGATTATTTTTAAAAACTTTTCTATTTCACTCATCAATTTTACTTTCTTCCCCGCCCCCTTTTAGTGTCGACCAAACCGAGACCCCACAGTGATGAATATTCGAAGAAAATTCCTCCTCCCAAACCAAAACGGAATCCAAACACTCAGCTCAGCACATCTTTTGATGAAACGTACATCAAGAAGCACGGGCCGCGGAGGACGTCGCTCACGCGCGACTCCTCCCTCTCCCAGGCCAGCAGCCCCGCGGGGGACCCGGAGGAGGAGGAGCCGGTGTACATCGAGATGGTGGGGAACATTCTCAGAGACTTCAGGAAGGAGGACGACGACCAGAGCGAGGCCGTCTACGAGGAAATGAAATACCCCATTTTTGACGACTTGGGCCAAGACTCAAAATGTGACCTTGACCATCACAGTTGTTCTTCGCAGTGTGCTACGCCCACGGTGCCTGACTTGGACTTCGCCAAGTCCTCAGTGCCATGTACTCCAAAGGGTTTGCTTTGTGACATCCCCCCGCCCTTCCCCAACCTGCTTTCGCATAGACCCCCACTGCTGGTGTTCCCACCAGCCCCTGTGCAGTGCTCCCCCAATTCCGACGAGTCTCCACTCACCCCACTGGAGGTCACAAAGCTTCCTGTGTTGGAAAACGTGTCTTACATGAAACAGCAGGCGGGAGCCTCGCCATCCTCGCTGCCCTCTCACTCCTCGGGTCATCCCAAACTGGAGAAAGACCAGAGCGGAGCGCTAGGACCCGCTCCGGCGACGTCTGTGCTCTCCTCGTCCCCTCCCCCGCCTTCCACTCTGTACCGAACGCAGTCCCCGCACGGCTACCCGAAAAGCCACTCGGCCTCCCCGTCGCCGGTCAGCATGGGGCGGTCCCTGACCCCCCTCAGCCTCAAAAGGCCTCCCCCCTACGACGCTGTGCATTCGGGCAGCCTCTCAAGGAGCTCTCCATCAGTGCCTCATTCGACCACCAGGCCAGTGTCGCAGGATGGGGGCAAGATGGTCAATGCTTCGGTGAACACGTACGGGTCGGCGCCCAGCGGCTCCCGGTCCAGAACGCCCACAAGCCCTTTGGAAGAACTCACCAGCCTCTTTACCTCGGGACGGAGCCTGCTGAGGAAGTCGTCCAGCGGCCGCCGGTCGAAAGAGCCTGCAGAGAGTAAGTGTGCAGATGGCGGGCGAGCCACGCGGTTTAGTTCGTGAAATTCAGCGGAGCTCCTCGCGTGCAGATGAGGCCGGTGTGTAGCGCAGGATTGTTAGCCCTTGGAGTCGAAATCTCACAAGTTGTTATTTTCCTTTTTCCATAGTAAAGATAATAGTGTGTTGGAAAAGAGCGAAAAGTAACCAGGTAACCTCTTTATTTAAAAAGCATAATTTTTGAAAAATGGAAAATCTAAATTCTTACAGCAGCTCTGGAAAGTCTAACAAAGACAAACAGATCACTATGAAATTTTTAGGTAACCATCTTGATGGGGGGGATTATACATTCAAACATGAAATCAATAAATGTTAAAAATTTATCTTCATCTTACATTAAAAG